ACTGCTTTCCACCCTCAATCATTAGGATCACTTGAAAGAGCTCACCGTGTTTTCATAGATTACCTCAAACATTATTGTACTCAGAATGACTGGGATGACTGGATTAGATTCGGGATATTTTCTTACAATACCTCTATACACGAAGCAACTGGGTTCACCCCGCATGAACTTGTATTTGGAGAAAAAGCTGTTATACCATCAGAGTTTACAAATCAGAAAATTCCAAAAACATTTGTTGAGTATCTGGATAACTTGTTCTTAAAAATTACAACCACTCAGGCTACAGCGGCCGAGAATCTGGAAAGGGCAAAACAGAAAAGCAAATTAAATTATGACAAAAATATAAACCCTCACAAATTTACTACAGGTGATTACATATACTTACTTAGAGAACCAAAAATGTCTAAGTTTGATTCAACTTGGTTGGGGCCATATGAAATTACTAAAATATTCAACGACCTAACGGCTGAAATAAAAATAACAATTAATAAAACAAAAATTGTTCACACAAACAAACTTAAGTTGGCATGTATAAGAGTAGATTCTTCCTAAACCGTGATTGTTTAAATGTTATCACTGGTAATTTAAGACTGACTTTAATTCTATAGATAAACGATGCTAAAACTAATATGATATGTTACTCTAAAATTAGTTAAAATCATCTTCACTTGTCCTTTGTTCATTCAACACAACTCAACAATTAACTTTATATTCGATTCATTCTTACTAACTGTTACTAAATACTTAACAATAATGGCACCGCACAGTGTGGCTAGGGAAGTTATATATGTATAATGTTTGTAACGTCCGGGTGATCTGCAGCACCCTTTGACTTGCTTGCTCTGCGGGAACCCGGGTGGATCGAGTAGCTCAGTTACTGTGGACAAGTGAGAAGAAGGGGGCTCAGAAATACTCGAGACGACGATTCACATAACTTTAAAAGCTGTTTTCATTATAATAATAACTATAAGGGTAAGGTGTTGCGGTCCCCGCTCATGTCACGTAGCGGTGTATGTCATAAGCTTTACAGGCGCGAAGTTTGAATCGAATAACACATGTAATAGGAAAGGAGGGTAAAGGTGAAGTTGACACTGATTTGAAGAAGTGTGAAATCTGTTAGAGATCCTTTTAATAAATGGATTTCAAGATTATAAAATAATCAATATTCACTTAGAAACGAATGTTTAAACATTTGCCAGTTGCCTTTGCCTCCTATCCTAACGCTCAGAATCATTGCAAATATGTAAATCGCTCGTTATCAATAACCGGGAAGAAACACATCAACGAATCAGGTTTAATCTTATTAATTAATAATTATAAGATTGGTCAGTAGTAACTAAGGACATTTTGTAATTAAACAAAATGATATACGAAGGGAAATGAAAAGACGTAACATTCCACCGACAACTTTGTAATAGAGAGGACGTATAAAAATTTATTTATCAATTAAATTTGTTTTCCTTTAAAATTAGTTATAAATCGTTTATTTAAATAGTTTAAATATAGTTCTCCAAGTTTTAATTTAAATCTTTATTGTTCTTTATTATTATTATTACAATTTCCTTTTTATTCAAAATTATCTATCAAACTAACGTGTTACGAACTTTAATTACTTTGAGACTCAGGATTCCCTGAGGGCCCACGCAACAGGTATAATGAAAAGTAAAAAGTTAAAGTTGTCCGGCTAACTTCACATAGGTGTCCAATTGACTGCAATTGACTTAACCTACGCCCTGTGATCGCGCTGCCGCCTATAATCACCTATAGTCGTTTGAGTTCGCGAATATATAACGTTGTAATTAATTTTGTAACTTATTGAAATTAATAAATTAGTGTTTGAATAATCAGAACTTATTTGTAGTAATTACACAAGTCTGATAACGAAGATCCAAAACAAGCTGATTGATAATTTGACATTGAATTGGTGCATAATTATGGGTTAGTAATTCCAAGTCTGAACTATTTATATAGAATATTTATAAATATAAACTTAGTATATTGTCAGTATGTTGAAGTAGAAACTGATATACTTTTTATTAATATAAATAGACATATTTATATTAGTATATTTGTATACTTAATATATACCGATTTATACATGTATATAGTGGTGACAAAAATGTGTAAAAGAACATTATCGTTAATAGTGAAGTTGTACTAAATGCCTATCCAACCAGGTAATGTACGTTTCTTTACAAATTTAAAAACTACTCTAACCAAATTATATTTTTGTAAATTTTTTAGGCAAATAAAAAATGAATTGCTTTAGAAAAATGTTATAATTTGTTTGGGAGAAACTGAAAAAAATTTAGTAATGTTGACTCTTATGTATTTTTGTTTAATTAAGTATACTATATTAAAAAAGATTCAACATTTTACTATATGAGGTTTTCAAAACTCAAATTGATCCATCATACTTTTTGTAAATAACTACAATGTATTGTATGTCGTGTAAGTAGAAAATTTAGATTCAATAAATTCATTATACATATAATACATGTTTTATCATATACTTTAAACTACATGAAAATATATATTTTAATACAAAGAAAGGAATGTGATCTAAAAGAAAATATAATTACTGATAAAAAATCATAGATTAATATTAATGCTGACTATATGTAGATACATGTGTATCTTCAAAAATATAGGGTACTTTATAGTAAATATGCCAAATTTCTGAAACAAACTAGGTACTCAGAAATAATAAATCTTGGATGTAATAGTTGAATATTTGTCATATATGAATGAAATGGAAATATTAATCATTTCGACTAGAGTTTACTTTCAAAAATATTATTTCACACATTGTACAACTACATTGAATACTAGTTTTTTTTAAATTAGCATCAGAGTTTTTTCTATCATGCAAAATAAGTGTCCCATATTTATACAGCCAAAAACATTTTATTTCAAAGATATTTTATAGTAAAAACAATGGTGATATAATATATGAATAAATAAAATTTACTATGCTATCTTATTTTGAAATAAAAATTATTGAAATGCAAATACCCCTATTACTCAAGAATATAGTTAAAGAGATGAAATGTAGGTATACTCAAACATTTTTCATTAATCTATTGAGGCTAATTTCTTTTTCAAATTAGCCCACATGTGAAATATTATTCATATTTTTTTAACTATTACAGATTCAGATACAAAAGTATGTCAAGGAAAGAATATTTTTGAAAGGATGAACTATCTCTATCAGGTGATTATGTTCATTATTAATTCTATATTTCATTATTGTGATTATTGAATAAAAATGTTTTCAGGCAAGTTACCTAATGGCACTAAAAAACAGAGTAGCAGCATCGTATTATGGTAATATAATGACAGGATGTGCAAAGAAATCTGTATTGAGAATGTAAGTATTATTAATTGTGTTTCTAAAGATATTTTTATTTAACTCTTGACCAACCGATGCCGGGTCACATCTAATGCATCTTTGTATTTTCAGTGTAATAATAATATACATAAAAATAGATACACTAGTAGCAATAATAATTATAAATGAATGAAGCGCACGTGAAATATATTTACTAAATGTATTCTGTCTACGAAAGTCTCATTTTATGAATATAATGCATATTAATAAATAGAATTAGCAAATTCTATTTTATCATGTATTGAAGATGTATGGACAAGTTTTAGAACTTCAAAAGATAAGTGCAAACCATGTACCACAAAAATTTCAGGATGGGTCACTGTTGTTACTTCGTCGTCGATAGATAGTTGGCTGTTCGAGGGTTAAACAAGTGTATTTGTGAATAGTTACACAGTTTTGTTACTTTCTGAATCTCCCAAATCAACTTTTTGTTTTACTAGTGAGTGTAACCTTTTGTTCGGAACATAGATAGTACTTTTATCACAGATTCTATAGCCTGGTCCTAAAATAGTGTTATAATGTTTATAGAAGTAATTTGTATCTTAGATCTAATAAAATAGTTCTACTGAACATTAGTGCTAAAACCCTCTGATAACCAGTTGTGTACAAGTTTTGTTAGAGAATGATCGGGATGCAAGTTTATGTGTATAATAAACGAACACGAGATACTAGATACAGTGCTCTCTCGATTATTGTCCACGCGAAACGCTTCTGACCATCGTGAATACGTTTTTTGCCCGTAGCTCGAGCCTCGGCAACTCGTCTTTGTAGTATTCCGAACGTAGAAAAGGACAAACCAAGAAAAAACAGAGAAAGCTTCTTTTCCCACTCGACTTGGCTGCGTGGCCAGCCTGTGACACTCTCGCCAACCAATGGTTACATTATAGCCGACCACTCAGTCCGATTGGTGTGTACCGTTTCGGCCAATAATAAAAATACGTGTGAATGGAGGTGATCCAGCTACATTCTATTCGTCGACAGCTCTCTGGGCAGTCGCTGGCGATTGAACGCTTCGACAAATCATAGTACATTCCCCCGTTCCATCCGGCGAGTCCATCGAGCGCATACATTGTTGTTCGGCGTGCGAGGCAACGCTAATGCAACGATGAAACTTTTTTATTTTTGATTCGTTGTTAATGAAACTTTTACTAGTATATTGGTGAGATTTTTCTGATTAAAATGATACTAAATATGACATAATTTGGATCATATTTATTCATGTAGAAAGTGTTAATAGTTCATATTAGTTCATTATCGATTCTGATAAATTATAAGTAAATATGACCTAAATTGTGTCGTGTTTGGTATCATTTTAATCACAAAAATCTCGCCAATATGTTTATAAAAGTTTCATTAATAAAGACCTAAAAATAAACAAGTTTTATCGACACCCGGGAATGTAACCTTTTTGTGAGCTCCCAACGTTCAGTCGTCGGCGCGTGAACGGGAAGCCGTCTCGGCACGCCGCGGCAACAAAGTATGCGGTTGCAGAGTTCCACGCCCCCCCCCCCCAGTGGTTGGGTTGATACCTGGACAATAATCGCATATCAACAAAGAGTCAATAATCGCGAGGGCTCGGTTATTAATGCTAAGGTGTGCGAACACATCCACAATGCGTACGTGGATTACTCGCAGTCGTGACGTATATAATGGTGCACAAGACCTGGCGAGAATGCTGTTCGATTCTGCCGACATATGGCATTACGTGCCGGAACCGTAAAGTCCTTTCCTAGACTGGATTTACAGCCTCAGGGACCAGTAATGCCAGAATCGTGGTACTGCTTACCCCCACCACTACCCCCACTTTATGTCCACCGTGCTGGCAACCACAAGCATAGGAGCTGGAATCCTGTTCGAATACCACTGCGGCGAAAATTCACGTTCTCGACGCGATGCCCCGCAACCTAAGCGCGTGAGCAGTGAAGAGACCCTGTTCAAATTCCAATGCGGCGGTTTTACTTTTTTTTTTTAATTATTCTATAATTTCACTTTGTAACCTCTAAGTAAAATAAAAAAGTTAAAAAATATTAATTCAGGAAGCATTTAAAAAGAAGAAAATAAATGTTTTCCACTTCAATGTCTAAATTTTTTATTATATACATACATATTATGTTGTACACACATAAATTATTTTTACCATTAGATGTTATCCGCTAAAAACCGCTGCAGCTGGTCCACGTATATGCCGAATGGTCTTTTGCTTTTCTCCATATGAAAAGAAACAAACACAATTGAAATAGTAATTTTAACAACATAAGATAAAATATTAAGATTGCTATGAACTTATCTTTTTTTTGTTGAATTATTCTGTAATTTCGCTTCCTCACTTTTGAGTAGAAGTTTCGCAGCTAACGAAAGTAACAAAGTACGATAGTCTTTTAAAACTATTTAAAATGTGCCTCATTGTAATATTTTGGAAAACCTTTATTGCCGGAAATTTTCTTTATTGACTGAAATTTCGACGGCTAACGGTAATGGATTTCTAAAAGCTATTTCAACGGTAAGGGACTTTTAATTAGGTCCATCGTAGACGTCGTCGAATACGTTATTGTTTCATTATGTCAACAGAGTCTTTTGAAAACAGGTAATTAAGAATTTCAGGGGATTCGAAAGAAGTGCTTAGGCGCTCGAAAAAACAATATACTGCTAATAGTGATCCGCTATAGACTTCATAAAGGACCTGTTAAATCCATATGACTTTTTTCTATCCAGAAAAAAGATAAGTTTACAATAATATTTATATTTTATCTTACACTATGACAATTATGATTATAATTATATTTATATATTTTTTTCTTTTGAGATATATACATAAGCAAAAGACTATCGTACTTCGTTACTTTCGTTAGCTGCGAAACTTCTACTCAAAAGTGAGGAAGCGAAATTACAGAATAATTCAACAAAAAAAAGATAAGTTCATAGCAATCTTAATATTTTATGTTATGTTCTTAAAATTACTATTTCAATTCTGTTTTTTTCTTTTCATATGGAGAAATGCAAAAGACCATTCGGCATCGTATATATGTGAACCAGCTGCAGCGGTTTTCGTTAGCGGCGAAATGTATCATTAAAAAAAAAATATGAATTTTAAAAATGCTTCCCGAATTAATATTTTTTAACTTTTCATTCAAACTTAACTTAGAGATGGCAAGTAAAGCCAACAAATTTTAAAAGACTGAAGATACACTTATGACGTAATATTTTAATCTAATAGATTTTTGTACGAATGTTCAGAGTAGTAATGAGTAGGGTTGTAAGGATAACATCTAATTGTAAAAATAATTTATGTGTGTACAACATAATATGTATGTATATAATAAAAAATTTAGATATTGAAGTGGAAAACATTTATTTTCTTCTTTTTAAATGCTTCACGAATTAATATTTTTTAACTTTTTTATTTTACTTAGAGGTTACAAAGTGAAATGATAAAATAATTAAAAATAAAAAGTAAAACTGCCGCATTGGGATGCGAATAGGGTCTCTAGACTGTTGCTCACGCGTTAAGGGGGGAGACTCCGTGGCCCGTGCGCTGTGGCCCGTGCGCTGTGTCCGTGCACTCACACAATCAACGGGAACCGTGTATGTATATGCGATGTGCAAGAGAGACGTTCGATTTCGTAGGAACCAACTTGAGCCTCGACAATTGTACAAATACACTTTTCACTGGTATAGAACTCACGGGTAGACTTCCCTACAGGGTGGTCTGATCCGTATAAACGCCAATAAACACATTCTAATTGAAAGAATTAGAATTTTAGAAAGTGTGCGATTGTGACAAACGCCGATGAAAACACACAAGATGGCTGCACAAGTCACATTTTGTCAAATATCTCACGACTGAATGGTTTTCTCGTCAAACGCAGATCAGACCACCCTGTAGACTACTATCACACTATCGTGGAAATTCGATTTGAGTCACTTTATCACTTCTGGAAGGCACAA